CATTTTTCACTGAAGAAATGTCTATTCTTTTAATGTAGTATGTTATAGTAATTTCACAAGGAACACTTTTGTTAATTTCCTCAAATCCATAATGACAGAACTTCATAGGTAGTAGAATTAACTTTTTTTTAAACACAAAATGAAATGCTTTATTTTATGCTTTTTTTCTAAACGTTTGGTTACTATACATAAATAAGAAGAAAATAGAATTAGGCTAGAGAAAATTATAGGAATAATCCTCTTTTTTAGATTTGAGAAAATAATAGATTGACATTTTAATACATAATTCACATTTCTTAGCATACAATGAAATTAAGATTCAGACACAGGAGAGTCAGTACAGACAGTTCTATCTACCTACTATGTGTGCTCACACAGTATTTTACTCCAAATGAGAATTCAAACAATGGCAGCTTCTATCAGCTTTCCTTTGACTCCACTAGAAGGTCAGGTTTCTCAGCTTGAGAAACCTGCTTTAATGTTCATTAATTCTATGGTAGGTCACTTGAACGTTCATAGAGTTTTATATACAAATCACTATAATACTGTGTCTTTCTTTAAATAACTTTATTCTACTAAATTGATATCTTGTATGACCAACTAATTCCATTGATTTACTTACTAGCCTCTTACTCAGCAATAAGAGTTCGATTTTGATTAAAATGTCTTAAATCTAGTATCTGTCATAAACAGTCACTAAAGACTGATATCCAGGGTGGCCTTTAAATGCATGATGTATATCAATTATTTATTTTAGAGTATAATTGCAATTTTTCAGATGTAGATGTTATAAATTCACAAATTTAGTGTTACAATTTCTCTCAGTGATATATTTAAGTCTGTACTTGCATTATAATGGAAAAGGGTTTGTTTTGCAATATAAACAGGAAACAAAGGGGTGTCTATTTAGAACTGTTTCTAATGTAGCTTTTATAAGATGATCGCAAAATGAGTAGAGATCAGGAACTATTTGTTTGTGCTTTATGTTCTATTTACAAATTATTCTTTCAGTTATTCATTAAAAACATAGTAAGCACAACACAATTCAATTCTTGCCTAGTTCCATGTCAGCTGCCTTCAAATAAGCTTTGCATTTCCTCATTAAGAATTGAGATTCAAAACTATTCTCATACTCTACTTAAAGGTCAAAGGCAATGGGAGGTAATCACTCTAGAACTTTGTAGCTACAAGCAGACAGACAGAAAACTAGCATCCCTCTAAGTCTGTTCTGAACCAGGGTTCTCTGTCATCTGAGGTCTGGTTTGGGAGAACCTGAGTTTCTTTCCCAGCCAATCTTCGGGACCTTACTATTAGCAGGAAATAGTCAGCTCTTTCCCAGTTGCTACTAATCTTCCTTGTCTTGCTCTGAACTAATTATCAGGATTGTGCCCCATTTTAGCAATCAGAGTGTCTTAGATTTCGACATTTTTTACAGTACTGTTTTGAACTGGATTAAAACAGGGATTTGGACTTGAATAGAGGCAGCAGCCAGGCAATGCTTTTTCCGCTACCAACAAACCGCATTATGGTCACAAAGTGAAGTACAACTTGACCTCTGTGGAAGCACATGCTAACATGTAGGGAGTAACCTGTAGTCTGATCCTACATGTACCCAAGTACATTAATAGCCTATTCCTTTTGGAAATAGTTGATAGTTTGAGAGCCATTTCTAGGGAGATTGGACATATTTAAAAGCCTGCTGAATAAGGTAAGAGTATTTGGCATTAGCTGGAATAGTCTCCTTCGATAAAGAAAAATAAAAAGTATCAAACTCAAACACAGCTAACACTTTTCTATTCTCCCTTTTTTTTTTAACTCGATGTTTTTAAAATTATCCAGAGACCCACAGTTGGAGTTATTCTGATTCATCTAATACTTTCTATCCTTAATTTAGTTAGTCAATTAAGGCTTATCAATCAAATCTAGAACTATGAGCTACTATTTTTCTTGTCCAAATGTCACTACTCTTGGAAAGGTCTCTTTTGGAAAAGTCTCCACTAGTCTTTAGAAAGTCTCTTCCCAGTTCTAATAGCCAACCAACTGCTACCTCTGCATCAGTCTCTTTAATGATTTCTTTTGCTTTTTCTCATCTTCACGTGTCAGTGTTTTTGGAGTTCTGTTGTGCATGCTCATATTTCTGATCCTGTGCTTTCTACCTAGTTACTTCACATAATTTTTACGTGCCCTTAATATAATGATGATCCTGAAATTTCTATCTCTAGCCTACACTACTAATCCTGGGCTCAAGTCTGTAGGCCATTTGCCCAACAGATATCTCTAGTAGAAAGGCCCTCAGGAACCTCATCTGTTGCACCTTCATTTTGTACTCCTTATCTCAGAAAACACAAACATTTGTTCAGGCTAGGGTCAGAAGTCAATATTATTCTTGAATTCTTTTACTCATACTCTGTGCTGCCCACATTTATGTTTCAAATCTGCTCATCTCACTCCATACCTGTACCACTGCCACTACCTTAGTCCAGGCCATCGTTAAATCTTACCTGTATTATTATGAAGACCTGTTAAGTAAGCCTCCCACAGCCTTCAGACAGGTCCTTTTGTAGTGCTGATTAGATACTGTAACTGAAGTGATGTTTGTAAAACTGCCAAAATGAACATGCCTCTCTCATGCTTGAAATCCTTTAATGGCTTATGACTATCCTTAAGATTAGGTTGAAACTTTTAACTAACCTATAAGCCTTCTCTAGAGCCTCCTCATCAGCTCCTGTCCTTTAGCTAATTAAGCTCCATTTTTAAAAACTGGGTTTCTCCCCCCTTTACCCACTAGGTCATTATAACTTTCCACCTTCTTGGGATATCCCTTCACTCCCTCCCTGCTTCCTTTGCCAGTTAAAGCATCACTTACTATTTTGAAAGTAACCCCTGACAGTGCCCTTGTCAAGATTGGATTTGGTGGTTTGGTTTTTCTCTAGGAGCACATTCTAACTTAATATATCCATCTTCTACCTATGCTCTAATTGCCTTTTCTCTCTCAACATATCGTAAGCTTTTTCTTTGATGGCAGGGATTTTGTATATAATTGTATCATTCAATTCTATATTTTATACCATCCATTTCATACTTTGTATCATCCGCTCTATAGTTTGCATTGGTCATTTCCATTCTTCAAGATCTCTGACAGCGCCTACAAGCCTCCCGAACAATCCAGTCCTTACCATGGGAACAGAAGACCCGTCTATGCCACAGTTCAGCTCTCCAGCTTCATTTCTAGGCACTCCTGCCTACTTTCTGTCCTATTAGTATGCACACCTCTGTACAAGTCACCTGGATGCATCCACATTTTTACTGTTAGTGTGTCTACTTTCTGGATTATTCCTTTGTTTATTTCCCTGGAACACATTTTTCCAGACTACTCTTACCTCCAACTTTGGCAAACTTTATCACTGTCTTCTAGGTCATCACAGGTTTATACTGTTACAGTATGTATCTTGCTATATCACATTTTTATGTTTAATGGTGCCTCTCTGGCTAGACAATGAGCTACAGGAAAGTACATCTAATCAATTATTTATCACACTGTAATAATTAAGACAAAGTCAACTGTTTCAGCTATTAACAAGACTCAGGCAAAAGACAAACTAAGGGGAGAGTGGCTCACTCTACAAAAGTAAAGGAAAGAATGTATGGGATTAATATCTTTACTTAACTCATCTCTTTTTAAAAAGTGCCACTTAGAGAATACTCAAGAATATAAATTCTCTAATTTGTTCTTACTTCCAACTTACATTTGGTAAAAGAAAAGACTACAAGCAGAAAAATCTAAATATTTTATGAATGATCAGCTATCAACTTAAAAGGCTAAATTCAATGACAGAAGTCTAGAAAGCCTTGATTCAAATGCCAATTGTGTCACTTTCTAAGACTGCCTTGGTTTTTCTATCTGCACCATGGGAAGGGTAATATATACTTCACAACAAGAGTTATTGCAGGGACTGAGAGTTCATGTATGTGAGGCATTTAGAACAAAGTTTGTCACAGTAAAGGTGATTAAATGTTAGCTATTATTATCTTAATTATCAAGAATTCTATCATGTTTCAGAGAAAAAGTCCCTAAGACAGAATGAGCTGGAGATGATCTGAATATTCCCAAACTCTTGGGAACAAATCATTATATCCTAAAGGACTGCATACTTCAGAGTTGGTACTAGACTAATTGAGACCTTTATATTCAATTGTTGTACTTTGGAATGTGACAATTTTATTTCTCCATTTTCACATTTATATGAACATTATTCTATAGAAGTGACATGAATTAATTAGCAAATGATCATCAAGGACTTGAAAATATGAAAGACTGGAGTGACAAGTCAGGACCTATGGAATTCACTGATAACATAGTAATACCCTCAAGTCCTAAATTTCTCCCTTTTTTTCAAAGGGTGTTATTAAGGGTTTATTAAAAAAATCTGATGTTTAGATTAGAAAACAATAATCATCTTGTTGAAATTTTAAGATATTAACACATATCTTTAATCCAATTTAAATTGGTTTTTAAAAAATTCCACTTTAAAAACCACAAAGATTCTCAAACATTTTGATAGAGCCTATAATAATAAATGAATACATTATGGTTCAGCGATATTTTGAAAGTACAGCCAAGTCTTGATGATCTTTAGTCTTAAGGGAGACATGGGAAGCTTGGGTGGTTAAAATCGACATATTTCAGAATCTCATCTTGAGGCCACTTCTCCCACACCAAATTTTTGCCACAATTAACTTAATGGGCTAATTTGCATTTCAACTCACTCTTAATTGAACAATGAAATGGCAAAATAAATAAGTGAATAAAAATTTAACAACAAAGGAAACATTGGAAGCAGTAATCTATACACCAAATAACCAGTCTCTGAATAATCAAGAGTTGGCTGCAGTGTTCTATATCCCTTAGGCATTAAAAATAGCCTGTTCTCCTTTATATCTTTAAGTACAACCAAGCAGGAGTGCCTATGGCTTAACAGTCCTCGCGTTTGTCTGAATACCTGAAAGAACCCTGGTGGCACAGGACCTACTGGCATGCCATCTCCTGGGGGAATGTTTCCTAGCACTGGGCTGGGCGCTGCTGCAGCACTCTGCAAATAAAGGAGAAACAAACCTATGTCATTATAGAGAAGGCACAAAACCAAGACTAATGATACAAGTGTACCAAGGGAAGTTTTTTCAAGTCCAGAAACAAATACTGGTGATTTCCCCCACTCCAGAGGTAAACTAAGATTCAGCACTTACTTTAGCATATGAGTGGCTAGATGATTGGGCTTAAACAGGTATCTTTTAAGTCATGAAACTTTAATGTTGATAGTTTGATATATAAAATGCAAATAGACAAAGTGATAAAAATTTAATCAAATGCTTTATTGAAAGGCAATGAAAATGGCAGTATCACTAACAGATAGATGAGGTACCAAGACTGTTAAATGGTGGCTTTAGGAGTTGTAAAAAACTTTCTTTAGATTATGCTTTTGTCTGAAATAGGTGTAATTATTTGTCGGCCTAGAGGTAACAATACTTAAATTCACCTTCTGATAAACAATTGGTAGTCAAAATATAATTGTAACAAAAGTAGTGAGAAAAATTAAGAGACTGAGTAAGAGAAAGTAACTAGTTTTGTAGAGTTGGTATCAATAACAATACTCAATTTTTTAAATGAAATCCTATGACTTCATGGTACTGGAGTATGAAAAAGTCTGAGCATTTTTATGATCAATCCAAGTTTTAGATTTAATTCTTTTAAAGAATAATACATCTGCTCTACGACTATGGATTTCTTTCTTCAACCTGGGTAGACATATTATAGATACTAAGAATAGTAAAAAAGGGGACTAGAATATGCTGCAGATAGCTCAGCAACAAGCTGACAGTTCAGCTATAAAATGAACACAAAATCAAATCTGGATCTAATATGTCCTCACCTAGTATATCAGTACATTAATTAGTGCATTAATATTCCATTAAAAGATATACGATCTCAGTATATTTGTATATAAATTGAAAAAAACACCAAATCATGTATTTTGTATTAATAATGAAGATAAATCATTTTAGTAATCCATGAGGAAATCTAGATGTAAATGTGGTTACCTAAAATGCTGCTTCCATATAGAGACCCAAAGCTAAACACTTGATAATGATGTCAGGATAAAAGGATAAATAATGTCTTGGATATTAAGATGAAGCCTCAATCTATGCTTAAAATATAATAAAAGACAGGCAATTTCATTTAGTGTACATTACTTGATAACAACCATTTGCCAGACATTGTTCCATTTTACTTTAACATTCATGCTTTTAAAAATGAAAGGCAAATTGCTGTTTTCATTTTAAATTTGGGGTAAAATTTTAATACACGATGCCAAAGTAAGGGGAATTTACCAGCAAATATTTGTTTTCCTGTAGTTTAAATATAATATCATCAGTTTAGGAAGAAAGATTAGTTCTATGTTCTTTGACAGTCTATTGTGCTCATGTGATTTTTACAGAAATGTATACAAAACAGAATTGCAACTTACTAGGATGGCTCCAACATGCTGTATTTCTCACTCAATTTTAGTTGCCTGAATATATATACTATATAGTATATATACATATACACACACAGTATATATATACACACACATACACACTATATATACATATATACTATATAGTATACATATACTATATAGTATATATAGTATGTAGTTAGTATATATGGTATATATATGTACATATACTATATAGTATATATAGTATATACTTAGTATATATAGTATATATAGTGTGTATAAAACATGCCTTTGCCTGCCTACAGGAAAAAAGTTCATGTACAGCTACACTGAAATTTCATCAGATAAAGATAAGTCATTGCCTCCTTTATTTTTTCTTTGTTGGGAAATATTATGTAAAGATTTTTTCTTCACAGTATTATGTTTTCAATTCTTTCAGCTATTTATAAAGTGAAATCAATGATAAATGAACATTTAAGCAAGTGAAATTTTCATTTAAAATGACTCATTTTTTTAACTTAAAATTTAATACATTCATTGAAAATACATGTTGTCAGGGACCATTGTAAGCTCTGAAAAATGGTGAGAAAGGAGAAGTAGGAGATAGTGTTCCCAATAAAGGTGATAGTTTGTAATTTTAAGTATGATGAATAAAAGTTGAAAGAGTAACTCAGTTGAAAAAACTGATTATCCAGCTCACAGTGACTACTAACTGATTTTAACTTGTCCCTTTCTTTATTGAAATCATCTTTCCTACATTTCAAAATATTACATGCATTTCCTACATTTCAAAGTCTTACAGTCTTCATCTCCCCCCTCTCAGAGGAATAAGAATCTTATGGGAATTTTACTAGTGATAGTCATACCTTGGACATAAGAATAGAGATCTTTTGAATGTTGTTATATAGCTAGTTTGATGATTCAGTTTTAACATGTGATAGGTAATTTCTAATCTTTGCCTGGTGTAGTAGAGTGAACTGAATACTAATAGTTTGTTTACCCAACACATAGCACTAGTCCAGATCATTTCAGCTCAAACTGTACTTTGGAAACAACATTTTGAACTAAATTTTCTGGGATTATGCTGGCAATGGGTAATTTCCCCACTTATTGCACTATGTAGACTCAAACTTCTGGTATACCCTTTGGGCGCTAACAAATACTGGGTTGACAAGCTACTACAGAGGTGAACTAAATGATATTCTGTAAGCATTATAAAGTATATTTCTCAAACTAAATAATTTGCTAATTTATATATAGAAGCAATATAAATAATGCTTTGAAACTAGGTTAATTTATAATCAGTTTTGTGGATTAAGGGTTTTATATAAAAGAAAAAAGTCACACATTCTTTGGTTTCATTGCTGGAATTGGAGATTTGTGTCAAGTTTACTTCCAACTCATGAGAAGGATTTATCTTAGGACTCAGGAGCCACAAGAAATTGTTACAGCAAAGGAGAGTAGATAACTTCAACTACTACTACGTATTAGTTTCCCTGGATTTGTGTGAATTCCTGTTAGAATACCATGGATAATTATTATGTAATATATCCATGATTATTTAGGGTCAACTTTTCCTTTGAGAGAGAAATTAATGTAAATGATGGCTTTAAAATCCTTTGTATAACTAAATTGAAGATATAAGATCAGGGTGAATTTAAGAATATTAATTATAATTGGTTTGTTTCTACTAGATTAATTTGTGTGCTTTTAAAAATGTATCTATTTTAAAATTATTTTGTGATTACTTAAAATAATTGACACCTTTAAATAAACGCAATATTAAATTGGCTGTTTTCAAATGACCTAAATTATAGAACAACTTTTTGCTTCCCTAAAGATATATAAAATAAACTTTAAAAAGAGTCACTATCAAATCTTCATGTTTACATATATTTATCTTTTAGTCTGTGTGTCATTTTCCTCTTGAATTTTTTTGTACTTAAACCTGTCAGAAGGCATAATTAGTGTATTTCTTTGGGACATTTTTCTCCCTTCTAATATGTCCAGCACCATTTTCCTTTCTTTCACTGAATTTTTAAAAATACCTTTATCATCTCTAATTCCCTGTTTTAAAGAACAGAGAAGTGTTCTATTTTTTTCTTAAATAAAAATATGAAATAAAATATGAAAGTATCCTTAATTTTAATCTTAAATGTCACCAGTGACATCCAGTAGAAAGCCTCTCTTCTGAAGGGAGGTTTCAAAGCAACAGAGATAGTAAAATTTTGCTTAATAATCAACTGTATCATGATTTTATTTTCTGCATAACTGGCCTTTAACAAGAGTTGATGCACTGAATAACTTATTTACTAAAGATGCTAGAAAAACATTTCTCTAATGATACAATTATTTAATATAAAGTGTGTACGTGATGGAACAGGCAAATCTTTTATGAAGAGAATAGGTAAAACAATGGTACAATTATCAGAAATTGGAGGGAGGTCTAAAAGGAGATGAGTGTGAAGAGGATGAGTAGAGAATACTTTCCCAATGGTGTCTAGATAAAATGCACTACATTCAATTTCTGTATTTAGGATTCTTTTGTGGTTTAGCCAGTGACCAAATTTCATATTTAACAAAATACCCATGTTTTTGATCTACATTTTTATCCGCTTGCTCGATATCTTCATATCTCCAGTTCTGTCCCCTTGTTTTATCTATCTAAACATTATAATTATATAAAACACCCTACAACTATTGTTTGTCCATTTTTCCTTGGGCTTCTATCAATATTTGCCTTACTTTCATTCTGTGTTCACTGCACATGCTTTGATAACCTCTATGTCTTTATTGTGGATTCTATCCTTTATTAAAAGTGACTTTCTTTGTCAGGTTTATAATCATTGCCTTGAATCTATTTTGTCTGAAATTAATATTGCAAGCTCAGCTTTCCTTTTGTTTGTATTCATATATTAAATCATCTCACATCCCTTTTTTTTATATTTTATTTAACTGCTTCAACTTGTTAGCAGTAAAATCTTATAAGTATCAAATGAAAAGTCCTTTAAAATTAGGAAAGAAATTTTCTTTATGCTAATATTTCCTTATATAACCAAGTCAACTTACTTTTCCTATTCCTCTTCAATTTCTTAATTCTTATTATAAATGTGGAGGTTTAGCATAAACTTTGTATTCATGATCTGTTCTTTCACAAATAACTTTTGACCCTCTACATTCCATTTTGTAATATACCTTCAGCATTAAAAATAACTTCAATTTCTTACTATCAGGTATTTTAAAAGCTATTCATGAACTTTAAATTTTACATAGAGAACATTGTTTCTCAAAACCCCAAAACAGGAAAATCCATCTCTGCTGACTTTCATCAGACTATAACTACCACTGTTGTCTGGTATTTAAGTGCCTGGTTTTGATATTTAATGTTCGAGAAGTCTGATACTGTGTTGATTTTTGTTCCTTGAGATATGTTTCTCTTCTAAAGATTTGAAATATGTTTTCTTGATGACTATAATTCTCAAATATTTCAGTTCTATACCTAGCTATTGTTTCTAACTTAGTCTGCCAGAATGATATGAACCTTTCCTATTTTCATACCTGGATTATTTTTCCAACACTAAGAAGAGGGG